ACAAAGAAAAATTAGATGATAGATGCATTTGCAAGGATTAAACTCTCAGTGAAGTACCCAATGACCCCTATGACTGTACTACAGCAGGAAACATATAGACATCTCAAAACATTGTGAAAATCAAATTAAAATCCATACAGAAGCCTGAAAATGTATCCTTCTTTGCACTGCATACTCTTTTAATCATATAAATTAGTATACATTCATTAATTCATTATTATACAAACAATCAAGAATCGCTGTTTAGCTCCATTGCTAATCCTGCAGTAATTTGAATTCAAACAGCTTTAACTGTGAATATTATTTGACGTTTCCCAAGTACTTTATCTTTAAAAATGTAATTTTAATATTAAATTACATCTAGACATAATAGAATATTTAAGAAATCCTTGACAGGACAGTGTGGGGCTGTTATTTGGTAGATATATAGATCTATGTTATTTCTCACCCAGCGTCTTTTGTATTTCATGTCCTGCACTGTAATATCAATCCTCGTCATGGATAACAGTAAAAACTAAGTGGTACGAGTTGTATGCAGACACTGGAAAGTGAAATCCGGGATGAATGGTGTAGCTATGACAGGTCGGCACTGAAGCGGCACAGCCACAGAGCCACACAGGAAGGGTGCAGAGACCATCACGTCTGTTAGTACCATCTCAAGATCCACCCTCTTCCTTTGGGGCAGCACATTTGTTTTTGGAATTAACTCTGTCATGTGCTGGTTTAAACATTTTAATTCTGTCTGTTTTTTTTGTCAAATACAGTAAATATTTATTCATTGAAATGTCCTGAAATACCGGAACTCAATTTCAACTAGCAATCAGAAATGCACATGGGTAATGTGCACCTAAATATCAAAGCAATGTCAACACAATTGTGACCTTTACTTGGTTAAGTGGTTTTGGTTAATGAATAGAAAATAATCAGGTATTAGATCAGGGCAAACATATAAATAGTTATGTGATACTATATGCTGCTACATTTTCTCCAAATATTAAAATAAGGAAATTATGTGTCACTGAAAATCCTGAAACACTAAACCACTCTGAGAAAGTGTTGTCCAATTCAGGGATGAACATAACTAACAGTCTGCAGAGGACCCTTTAAAGAAACATAAGATTTGTGTAATAGTTAGGGCAGTTCATTGTACAAATAACACAACTAGTGGTGATTTCTTGGTTACAATGCATTCTTTTCCAATTCAAATAACAACAAAAAACTAATCCGTTATTGTTTTTAGATTCTCAGTGTTCTTAAACTGTTATGGTAAACCGAAATCTAAGTTGCAGAAGTGAACAACTTAGATGCAGGATACTATCCAGAAAGATATAACCTGCCTGCCCAGCAAAATCAACAACCACTCAGAACACGCTTGGCCCAAATCATGCTCTTATAAAAATAAAAGGCCTGTCAATCGATTATAAAACACTAACTAAATAATTGCACATTTTGCAATGAATTAATCGCGATTAAAAACTTGTTTCCTAAAACAAGTAAAGCTAACGCTTGCTATAATGCATATTTAAATGTAAAATCATTCACCAAAATAATGTAGAATAATCACAAAGGATGTATATTTCAGATATAACAATGTAGTAGGTCATGAATGATAGTTGTACAAAAAAAGAGTCCCTGCCAGTCATTTATACGGTTTATATGATTTATATGGTTGCCCCATAATTCACTGTGTGATTAACTAATCACTAATCGCGTAAAATGTGTTAATTGCATTACATTTCAACGTGTTAATTATTTTATTTGTAACAATTAACACATTAATTGTGACAGCCCTAAAAGACAGATATCACAATAGATGATGCACATACCCTGACCCCAGTTTCTCCTTTGTCTCCTTTGAAGCCTGTGTCACCCTAAAAAATATAAATATGTATCAAATTCATATCCATATATATGCATTGTACTTCACCCACAAAACCCAGTGTATTGGGATTTTTGTAAGTGCTGATTTTGATACATTCTCTTCACTATAATGATCTCATGCTCCTGATGGTAACATCTTGAGTAAATGCAAATGAGCCTGTGAACTTCATCAAGGCGGCACTTACAGATACACCTTTGGGACCAGGTGACCCGGGAAGTCCTGCATCGCCCTGCACTCCCTGGAGGATGGCAGACAGAAGGATGGACTTCATATACAACAACCCAGCAAATGAAGCAAAGCAGAACATGCACAGGGCAGGAGCTCAGCTCTGGCACAGCAAGGGCTTGTCATGTGGGAGACAATTCTTTTTGTCAATATTCCAACTTCTGAGATGCACATAACCGGTACACAAGCATGCGTTCCATAAATAAAGAAAATATACCGACAATTTGCACTTCATTTGCGGTATAAAGGTTAAAATACACTGTAGTTTCTTGTCATGACAGAGCAAATGCACATACAACAGGTATGCATGCGTGCTGTTACGGGAAGAAAATGCCACGCGCAGCATTTTATATGATGAATGATGTACATGATTGTCTTTTTCTTAACTGTGAGACATAATTTATTCATTATTACTAATATACAGCATTTAAATGCCATTTCATTATATCACATCTCTACTAATAATATTGTTAATTTGCAACCAATTTATACCGTAAAAAAATATTTGTTTGTGCTGTATAACCATGTATTTTATGCTTAGGCTGAAGTAAATACAATAATAAACTAAAGAAGAAAACTTAACAAACAAAATGGTGCTCACAGATGCTGTGAAGGCATGGTTAAACTATATTATTATAGGAGCTATTAAAGATAGCCTTGTATAGCCTAAATGATCCACAGTGCCCACACACAGCCTACTGCTGCAGCAGCTCTTGACACAGCCGTACCATTTCAAACCATCACTTTCCACTTCTGTTGCTCCACAGAAGCCTTTGACTTGAGCTGCTAGTTAGCGAAGAAGCGAATCATTCAGGCGAAACCATACAGACTATTAGCAGCGTCATTATGGTGGTTTACAACTGTGCACCAGCAGGGGGCAGACTCTCTCCTCGCTCTGTCCATCTGACTGGCTTATCCTGTCTTGGACTTAGGGATTTCAGCAATGCTTGGATTCTGTAGCCCCCAATAAGGGGGCAGAAGGACTTGATTAAAAGAACATCCTAACCAAACCAGATTCTGCATTTCCACTACTAGTGAACAGAACCCTTATTGGAAACAAACTGTAAATCCATTTTCTCATGAGTGAAATGATAGCGGCAGTCTGGGACACCCACACACCGGAATATCCTTACAATTTTGCATAGCCCAGCAGGCAGGTAACTCAAGCCAATGTGAGAACACATTTTCCCAGTTTCCTGGAAGGCTTTCGTGGATCTTCACCACATCTATAAAGATTACTTAATTTCCCAGATGTCAGCACATCAACCGTATGTCCTGCTGCAGTATAACTACATAGAGAGACTAAAATCACTTAAATGCCTTTTAAGAGGTCCAGTCTTATCCCATCAATTAAAAGAAATGGCGTTTTTCAGACTGTTTCAGCAAGCCTTTATGAACTGCTGATTTTTCACTGTTCAATCAATTTAGTAACATAAAATGTATAATAGGAATAATAATTGTAAATATTTGTAAGCATTTAACATAATATTTAAAATAACTGGAATGAGGCATAAGCTGCTGAATTTCATGAACATACCTTAGGACCAAAAGGACCATGTAATCCTTTCTCTCCCCTTTCTCCAATAAAACCCTATAATGCAAGACAGATTATTGTAAACATTAGGTTGTTGTTTTAAGGACATTCAGCTGATCAAAATAACACGGTACTCATCTAGAAAGCTACTGAGTGTCATCTGGAGCTTGTGTTTCAGTGTGGTTTCCATGCTGGTGGGGGCTGTACTTACTCTTTCCCCTCTCTCTCCTTTTTTCCCGGAAAGGCCTGGCAGCCCCTGTAATCCCTGCAAGCAAATGAAATGAAGGATGTTTCATTTTTAGATTTTGAGAAAACAAAACAAAGGCCCAAGATCTTACAAGACATTTCTGTAAGTTAATTGCTCGGTGAACAATCTGCTTAAATTCCTGCAATACCTACAATTTCTGGACAAGATTCTGCCTTATGTAAACATTTAAGTGCATATTTTAATTATAGTACGTACAAGGGTTAAAATGGGATTCGGCAGGTGGGGAACCCTAAGATCAGGGTTGACAACTGTCACGCATCTGGCATGACACTCGTGGTTTCAGACTCTCACGTTCACGCAAAAAATCTTATGGCAAATCTTATGCATGTGCAGATTCGTTTCGAATTGAAAATTTAACGCCAGCCAGCTGACCAAAGTTGGCAACCCTGTAAGATTCAGCGTAGCGGTACACCAAAAGAAAAATGACTCACCTAAAAATAACTCCCAAATTGACTCAGGCTACGTCCACACTGCTAGGTCTCATTTATAAATAGACTTTTCAAGCAGAAACATTCATTCATACAGTTCAGCAACAGGTAAAACGTCATTCAAAACAGCTCCGCCATGCCCGCCACATCGGAAATACTGTTAGAGTGACCAGATGAATAATCAGAGAATTCTTGTCAATCAGAGAATGAGAGAGTGAAAGTAGTGGGATCGAATCAGGGATGGGCCACGTGATGAGTAGGGACCAGTTAGAAAGCTTTTAGAGTCTGCGTTTTCAAACATCTCTGTTTTCACTCATCCACCCTGCAACTTGAAAACAGAGTTTTCAAAAGTATACAGCTGTAGCGTCATACTAAAGTCACCCCCCGGCTGTGCTGACGGCGAGCGCAGACAGAGCAGGAGAGGGGGCCCCTGAAGGAGATTCCTGACATCTGGTCATCACTAGTGTTGTCACCCTTCACTCCCGTGCTACTGCTTGTGTGTTTGGTGGTATTTGTTGAGCTCTGTTGCTCTGAAATTACCTACCGCTATAGAACTTTACACTCGCTCCCTGATTTACTGTAAGCTAGTTAGTGCTGCCATCACAAGTTTATCTGCAGGCATGAACCCTCTGGAGGGAAGGGATGAGAATGGAAAAAGGACGTGTGTTTGGTGTGAGGGCGGGGCTCTGGGGTGACATAAGTTTCTGATTTGTTGAGTGAGTATCTCAATTGCATCAGCTAGAAGGAACACAAGTCTACAGTACACAAAAAATTGAATTTACTTGGCATTATTATGTATAAAACTATTAATCAGATTTATTTACTTATTAAACAAAGCTGTCGGATAGCTATTTCAGATCGTTCCGGCCCATTTTTACTCATGAGTACATATGCATCAACATGACATGGTCAAGACATTTAACGTAGCATATTGTGCATTTCCAGTCACGAAAAGACAACAGCATGCCTTTACTTGCAGAAATGACCATACCTTTTCCCCTTTGTCTCCCCGGGACCCTGAATCTCCTGGTGATCCCAAATCGCCCTGGGGATTTGTAAAAACCATTAATAAATACTCAATGTATAGCTTTCCATAAGGCGTGATGCTACTAGTACTGTAATAGTATAATCATTTTATAATAATGTTCTGAAAGCCATTTTTTCATAAACACTAACCAGTGCTGTTTATTTGCTGCGTGCATTCGGAATTGTTACTTGGTTTCGTGATGTCACATTTCTTCCAAAGCAGCCCTTCAGACGTAATGCATAAACATTTTATGACTGCTTAATTACACAGTGCTACCAAACACTGGCCTACAAAACATTTTTTTGGCTTTCATAAACCAGTATACAACATATCGACCTCTAATTATTCCCGGAACATTTCTTCATCATACACACAATGACATCATCGAAGAACACAAAATCAGTCAATGCCATACTGTGAAAATGCTTTCAAGTAAATCGTGTTTTTGGCAGTGAATTGGTGGCCGTTTGGATGTTGTTGTTCCCAAGAGAAAGGTGCAAATCTTGGAATACTTCTTTAAGCTTTGCTATATAATGTAAGATATATAAACTATATCACGTTAACAATTGGTCAACATTGTATGATAAGCCAGTAGGTATGATATCAATGTTTAAGTTTTACTGAGCTGTACAGCAATTGCAATAAATTGATATGCAGGATTTTAATTACAATTTTCATGCGAGGGTTACTCAGTGTATCCAGACGTAACATTGATGACTCTCTGTGGAATTAATCATTTGAATTGTGCTGATTCTGAGAATGCTAAACTTGCATGTTCTTTTAGGTGGAACAGTTACCCTAAATTTCTCCCTTTCATTTAGCTAACATTTGCAACTACAGATACTCCTCACTTAAAGATCTACCTGTTTAACGACCACCCTGACTTACGACCAGTTTCCTTTACACCTTTTCATTATTCAGAATAAATAAAAACGATGAGTATTTATAGTATGCAAACCTAAGTGATGTATATTACAGCTGATTTCCTCCATTCTGTTTATTACACTATACAGTACAGTACTGCATAAACATTTACAAACATGGATGCACATACTGTAACTGGTACGCAAGTACGCAATTACCTTTAAAAGTGACACATGCTGCAATGCACTTGTAACAGCACAAATGCGCAGGTATTTTATGTATATTTGCGCTGCTATGGCAAGAAAGTACAGAGCATTTTAACCTTTATACCGCAAATGAAATACGAATAACATATAAAGGTTAAAATGGGCTATAATTTCTTGTCATATCAGTGCAAATGTACAAAGAACAAGTACGCATTTGCGCTGTTGCAACAGTCAATTGCCGCAGGTATCCCTTTAAAGGTGTATGTGTTCTTGCGTACCAGTCATATGCATCCCTGTTCATAAATATACAAAAAAAAATTATAAATGGCGCAAAGGTGACATTAAAACAATATAAATATGGTTGATACAAACCCACTACCAGTAGCTTACAGTATGCTTGAAATATCAGTAAGTGGCAGCTCCTCGCTTATCGACCAATTCGCTTAACAACCTAGTGCTAGGAACGGAACTGGATCGGTAAGTGAGAGAATATCTGTATTTGGCAGGTGTTTTTATTAAAAGTGACGTACACCTGAGAAAGATGGGTCAGCCAGTCCCTGGAGCAATTGGGGTTACAGGCTTTGCTCAGTGACCCTACGGTGAAATCACTCTGCTGACTTTGGGATTTGAACTAGTGCCCTTTTATTCACAAACATACTGCCCAAGGTCCTTTGGATTGGATTTGGGGGACTAAAATACTAGGGGCTATAGCCCAAGTGATTGGATTTAAGGACACCCATGATACTGCCCCCCCCAACATAATGGGATTCATTACCATCCATACACACATAAGATGGTATCAGGAAACTGCCAAAGCACAAGATTAGGATTCGCAATTTAATGTAAAACCCAAATTGTAAACGCGCGTAACAGTCCTGTGAAGGACAGGCAGCAGAGTAGAAGAAGAAACCTGTCTTCTCAAGACAACCTGGAGGTCACGACCATAACTGTTCAAACAACTGGTCTATGAAACCACATTTTCCTTGGAGCCCCATCTCAGACACGACATAAAGGTGCTGCCCTAAACAGAGAAAAAAGGCACTTACCGTTTTATTATAGGAAAGGAAATGCGGAAAAATACAGGAAGTAGAGGCATGTAGAGCAGAATACGAAAGCAGACCACAAACGAGATGTTTGCAGATTCATGTTTCAACAGTAAACTCCTCTTTATATTTCGCTCCAACAAAAATCTTTAAAGGTGCGCATATTCTAAGGATTAAAAATGTATAATTAGACAACAAATGTAATATAATTAGACTGAATTCCTCTGATCATGATCATAGCCATGGGGTCAACACTGGGGGGGGGGACCAAAGCCGTGATTATAATATACATGGGCGGGGGGCATTATTGTGTACTCCCTAATATAATTATGGCCTTGCCTCTGATCATCCATAATGGGATTAAATATTGTAAAAGAATATGTTAATGTATTTAGTTATAGAATTGCCTTTAAAAAGAGTTCGAGGTGAGTGTTTTTGTTCGCCAGTAAGCTATGGCCAGAACCACAGTAATGAAAACAAACAGTACTGCAGGCAGGAAATTGGAGCTTCACCGCCCCGCTATGGGCACTCGTCTGCTGCCCGTATGTCATGGTGGTGGACGAGCTTCAGGTCCAGCTGTGACAGGCTCAGCTCAAGCAAGGTAAAAAACGGAAGAGTGACTGATGGTCTTTTTTTGGCCATTATTAAAATATCATGTCAGTGTTGTCTCTCTGGATCTGTCGCCACATGTCATTACATACATCAGGTCACATGACACGTCACTGTCTACCTGATATCGTCATCTCGACGCCTCCTGGAGACGAGGTAAAATTATTCCAAGAAGTCGCCTATAGTACCAGTTGTCGACTGTGTAAGAGTCATTCTTGGTACCACACTGCTGGAAAATAATTGGCCTGATTTCCCATGAATTACTGAAAACCTAAAGTAACAGCTTCTGCAGGTGCCAGAGATGCCTGACAAGACGATACTGCCCTAAAACATTCCCATTCCCTTTAATCGCCGAGGAGTTTACCTGTGAAAACCATGACCTTACCTTTTCACCCCTGTCACCTTTGATAGAAACGGCTCTGCCCTGCAAATAATCAATCGACAAGGATCAATTATTTGGAGCCAGAGAAGAAAACAGAGGAAAGAACAGCATTTCTAATCAAACGTGGCTCACAACTGAAAGTCTAAATGATGAAATAATAGTAAAAGACCTAGTACATTCAATATCGAACATTCTAGTATATGCATTTGTAGAGCAGATGATAGAAAAAGGTTTTAGACTTCTTTGTATTCCTTTACATCTTCTACCCTGACCAGTGTTATTGGTTAGAAAATGGAGGGCTGGACATTTTCTATGGTATCGGTTATATTTAATTACTGTCATTATTCCAATTTATTTGGCCATTAAAATTATATTTAGTTGCCTAGTTTTGACTCCGATATAATCAAAATTGTTCAAATGCGTAATGAGTTCATACAGTTTCTCCTTTCTGTCCTTTCAGGCCAGGTGGTCCAATTTCACCCTGACTTCCAGTGTCACCCTGTAAAGAAATTCACGCGGCGTCACGACAGAAGTGAATAAACCCCCGAGTCCCACAAATCCTGTTCCATAAAGGATTAATTCATAAAGGATTAATTCATTGAATTAATAGGAATAACTAAAGTGTTCTTTTTTTATTTTGAGATGGATGACCTTTTCACCCTTGGCGCCATCTCTTCCTGGTAGCCCAGTCTCTCCCTGTGAGGAGCAATTTAAAGGAATCAATGGACAAAATACATTTTATATTGTAACTCTCTGTGATGCTGCGCATTGTCATGTACTGTAGGCCAGTGTTTCTCAATCTGGCCTTCAGAGTCCCTCAGAGAGACCAGATTTTTGCAGGGAGCTGGGAGGAAGCAAAAATGTTCACCGTCTGGGAGTCTCCAAGGACCGGACTGAGAAACACTGGTGTAGACAGCTGCTTTGGGCCTATGTGTTCCACACGTTCATTTTGGAATGAACATGAGAATTAGGGTTAGTGGCACAACTACAAGTGAATGCCTGTTTAATATTCAACAAGGAATTGTTTTGATGAACATTTCATTTTATTTTGTTTTTGTTGTTCTTGTGGAAGTCCAAGCGGAATGACTGCAAATTCAAAACTAAAAAAATAGGTGAGCTTCCAATCATTGTGTTGCACAATGAACACACTGAGAACCTTCAATGTCTGCCGAATGACGGCCTCATTCTGCTTGCGGATTCTCCCCCGGCCGTGTTTCTTACCTTCGTCCCTGCTGCACAAGTGCAGTTAACGGCTGTGGGGCCGCTCTTCTGCTCGTCGGTTTTGGGGGGGCTGGTGGTGGGAACCTCAGCAGTGGGGTGCTCGATCACAACCTCCTTTGGACACTGAAAAGGTCAGATTGAGAGCTTGGCGAGAATGAAATGAAACAGCACAGACTCATTACTAGAGCCTCAGTGGCAGCCATAAACTGTCAATATTCTGGGATACAATGAAAATAAGGACCCTCCACCCCCCCAGTTCCTCCACCCAATACGGGAGGATAACTTACTGGGCCTTTGGGGAGGTCACAGCAGGTCTCCAGCTCTGCATGCTTGGAGTCACAATATATGACCATCCTCTGCAGGTCAAACTGGAGAAAGACGCGCAAATTTCAGGACCTGTAACAAATCCTCAGACCAAAGCTCAGATTCCTACATACATGTTGACGCAGGGCAGGCCTAAACAATGTAGGAAATGCAGATGCATTGTGAGGAATACTACTGAAAATTCAGCAGACACATAGAAAGTCAGCAGGGCCACGAAACAGAGAGGAGCGGCGACTCACGTCGATAGGCACACTGTCGTACACCCGCTTCCCGATCACTGTCTTCCCATTCATGTCAATGTCTTCTCTGTCTTCGATGGACAGTGTTTGTAGATGCTTACAGTCCAGGTAGAGGGACACCGATTTGGCCTGGACACTGAGCGCGATTTTGTGCCAGTTTCGGTCAAACAGGTTCTCAACCTCAGGGTCCTTGAACACGGCTCTCACGGCGTCCTTGGTCAGCCCCACGGCGTTGTACTCCAGGGCTTTGTTTGGCCCGTCTAGACGGATGGATACCTGGATGCAGGCATGCGACAAGCAGCTCCAGTGAAGAGGTGTAGGACGGGACGCTCTCCACAAAACGACACATACCGAAGCCAAAATCATGTCAAACCCATTATGTTTCATGAGTGAGCTGAAGGAAGTCAAGTCTACAAACTTTGTCCCCCATCATGACAGTATCAACTCAATACCCCCCCCCCCCCACAAACAGCATCTTAGACATCTTGGAAAATCGGACACCGTTCTGACTGCTATCGCACCTGTGGGATCCCGTATTTGTCAAAGATTTGCCAGAGATACCAGTCTTCTCGTCTAGAGGTTTTTCTGAACTTGAATGTGGTCACAAAGGCATATTCATCGGGGAGACCTTGAGGGTAGACATCTCTGAAAGGCAGAAAAAGAAAGGCAGTAATAAATGGCATTACCCAAGTGTGCCTCTTGAGGTTGTTAGGTGAGAAAATAGCAGCAGCGGCTAAAATGTGCTAAAGTGCTAAAGTAAAGAGTACAAATGCCAAAGCGGCACTGACACATCGACAGTGTGTGTGTTTCACTGTATGAGAGACAACAAGCACTGTTAGGCCTGGCTGCCAGTGATGAGGTCATTGTTTGGCTGCTGTGGGAAGGCCGCTTTCGCACGGATACGCAACACAGGGAAACCGTGACGATTTAGCTACTTTGCACATTCTTAGGCGGTAGCTGACTTACACAATATGCAAAGCACACACATGTCCATGGTTCACATCACATCACTGAGAACCAGTTAAAAGCCTCCATCATTTTAAGTGCTTTAACATTAAGAAAAAAAAACATGCAAGAACAGAGTTTTATAGCACTAAATATTTTTATAAACACTGCATTTTAGTACCATCTAAATTATGCTATTTAAGTTTTTTGGATTTTAATTATACTAAGAATATATAGGAATATACACTTCAAAGGAATTTTCTTAAGAAGCACCCTATTATATATGTAAAATAAGGTTTTTAGATAAAATGGAGACTTATGATGTCATTTTATGCTTCTTTCATGATTGGAAGGATTGTTTTTATAGACAAAAAATACTCATTTTACCTGCTCAGGTTAATTAATATAACATTGACTTACTCAGTTTTCTGTACAACAGGCAAGGTCCCAAGCCGTACATAGGGGCTTTGGCCTGGTTCAAACCTCGACCCCAAAAGATCCCGAACGTTGAAATACTCCATGAGGTCAAATCCTGAAAACAGAAAAAATAAGAAAAAAAATATAGCTTCGCTGTTTGAAAACGTGCAATGATCCTGGCCACTGATGACATGCTGGGGGAAAGGGTTACAGCAAGAAAAGGATGGATTTGACCAATGGTAGAAACACTACCCTCGAAGAAATGTTATTCATAAATCTGTGAACCTATTGCTTTCAAATAATAGAGTTATTGCATTTTTTCAAGTGTAAATTCTGCAACACAAAGCAATTTGATTTGCAGTTTAATGCATCCAGCAGATGAAAAATCTGATGCTTAAACCTTTTAAAAAGGAAACCATCAAGCAGCCATTTCAGCTCCTTTTGTTCTAACAGCAAGCCTGAGATTATATTATAAACATTAAACGGCACTAATTCCACCATCTCTCCTGCAGCAGTGCCTGATCTAAAATGAAAGGTAATACACTGTCTGTCTGTTAGCCTCATTAGGCTCTCTTTGTAATATACCACTAGTCTGTGATCACAATGTGACCCCAGCTGTTTCTGTACTGTTTGTAATGGGTGAAATAATACAAAAATAACTTTTAATTGTCCATGAAATATATTCCATTACTGATCTGAATCAGGTCAGGTCGGGGAGCAGGCACTGAAACACCTCAGGATCCCAGTTGGTGACCCCCCCCCAGGGCCGACACAGTGTCCAGTCCCACCCTCCGGAAATGGCCGTCTATCTGCCGCAGCCAGGTGTTACGTGGGCGTCCCCTCGGCCTGGTCCAGCCGCTCTGGTCTTCAGCAATGAGGATCCTGCGAGCCAGATCACCCCCAGGGAATCGGCCACATGGCTGTAGTGCCGTAATTGATGCTTCCTCACAGTGCAGGTAATGTGCCTCATTCAGGACGCCCTGAGCAACCATCCATTCGACACAAAGTCAAACCAGCGGTACCCAAGGATTCTCCAAAGAGGCACAGTATCAAAGGAGTCCAGCCTTCGTCTCAAGTCACTAGATAGCATCCATGTCTCGCAGACATACAGCAAGACAGGGAGCACCAGGACTCTAAAGACCGACCTTCTTCCTAATCCTTTCTCACAGCTCCATTTGAATTCACTGGGTGGGCATATGATGCTGTCACATTGCACATTTGGCATCCAGATGTGAAAAAGCCAACATTTAAACGACCATTTACGTCTACAAATACATCTCAGTTATGGCATGCCACGCACAACTTGCAGTACAGTACACGTCTCTAAATCATGCAGTAATGGGTTTTGACTGATATGGGACAATGTGGACACACCCAGCACTGATTTAAGTGTGAAGTTTGTATATGGGCTTCCCCATGCTGCTTCAGATGACATTATCACCTAACATGTGGAACGTAGCTTTGCTTTGACGTCGCTTTGTATCAGTCCCACTAATTACCCTCGTGTTTTTAATTTTTAGATCTGCTGCCAAAAGCCCTAAATTTTACGTTGTAAGGTTTAAGACATTTAAAATAGCTCACCCATACAATTATGGGGGCCAGTGGAACTGTGGTTTGTGTTGTAGCATGACAGAAAAGGTACCGAAATCTGCTGGGGTTTTTAGGGTAAGCCTCACCCAAAGGTAGTGTAATGAGGACACACCCTTTCACAACAAACATGCGACTGCCAATAGCAACTGCAATGCCAGGGTATACTTCTGCCGTTAATAGAAAAACATTACTTAATACAGAATGGACAGATACACCAAAAGCCTTCAGCGCTTGTCTTTCATGTTATTTTCAGAAAAGCTAAGAATAATAATCTTGGGTGTGCACACGCCCACACACGCGTGTGCAGGGTGGATGTCATATTTCATAGGTTTCCTGTTGGCCTTCTTAAGCTCACACTGAATTTGATACGGAAGCATATTTCCGTAGGCTGACCTTAAGATAGCCCTACTCATGTCATTGTTCACACGTTTATTCTGAATGCCTCACAGCTCCACGTGGTGTTTATCCGTCATCGTATTCATTCAAACAGTAGACCTTGCCTGTCACTCGTCAATATGAGAGAAGCTTTCCGGAATAATACAATGTAGCGTCCAGCTGAGTTGTTCAGGATAGAGAACAGTATATCACTGAGGTAAACAGGATAGCACCAGCACTTACAACAACTACATATATCTGAGAACCAAAACAGGGATAATTATTTTGCTGTGGGCATGGAAAAATTCAGTAGAATAGAGTCCAAAAGAACAATTACATTTACATTTACGGTATTTGGCAGACGCCCTAAGCCAGAACAACTTATATAAGTGCTTAGCAGTCTCATCAGAGAATACATTGTGATACTGGTTCAATAGAACCCGGCTAAGAATACTATCACTTTAAGAACTCTGTTGGCAAGTAATACTTTTTTTAATAACACTATAGTCCTGGAAGTGCTACTCCAAGTACTTCCGAAACTGACAAGGTACTACAAATGATTTAAGGCGACTGATATTCATCCATCCTTTCTGTAGCGTCTGAATCTGAGAAGCTCGTTCCCCAAAAGGCCTCCATAAAGGATGAAACATGCAAATGACTCAGGACCACTTGGACCGGGAGGCACAGGTGCTGCGCCATTGTATTACCCGCGACTTTTTGCAAAAGCAGCAGGCAGAATGTGGAACACGCATCCAGCTGTGAATGGTTATTGGTCTGTGTGTTATGCAAATATACTCGGTTCTGTTCAGCGGTTTGGGATGATCTCAGTGCAAACCTGTAATTTGGATTGGCGAGGGAAAGCATGTAATCTTCCCTAAAAGCTATTTTGAAAGGGCAGCTAAAACCCCAAGCTCCACTGTTCATGAAAAAACCAGAGGAACGAACTGGGAAATTAAACTAGAGTGCCAGTGGATTCTTTTTATCTGGGCAGTTGGTAACATCTGTGCACACTGTCTGCACTGGTGGCTTTAATTAACAAGGAAAGGGCCTTGGTACATCGCCAGTTCTGCAGATGACCCCAAAAACTTACCAAACAGGTTGCAGTCGACAGAGAGCCTGTCTGTGTTGGGCTTACAGTCAGAGGGGAACAAGGACGTGGATTGTGCGTTATCGTTATTCAAAGACGTCAGATTAACTGCGTGATGTCTATCAAGCTGGCCCAGTTCCTCTGGAATGCACTGTGAAGAAATTGCTTACCACTTACACTGCATGCCTCACATGTCCTCCCAGAGAGGTTTCAGCAGGCATTCAGGTAGAGGGATGCAAGGCGACATGTGACTCCACTGTTCATGGCTGTTTATACAAGGTCATACAGATGTTCAGACCTGCTACAGCGTGAAGAACAATATGCAATAACTCTAAGACTGTTATGTAACGAGCACAGGGCAGTCTAGCTACTTCACTGTGGCTTTGAATCTGGTCCAGCAGAACGTGGGAAGAGTTTGAGTGGACTTCCTCCCTGTCACTCAAGCCCCCCCCCCC